CAACTACATGTGCTTGCTCAGTGATGAATGAAATGTGCTCGGTATAACTTACATCAACGATGAGATAAAATAAAAATTGAGTAAGTAATCATTTTATCATTTCCGCGCTCTTCGCTTATCAATTCGTATAAAAAAAGTCATACAACTGACAAATAGAATAAGTAAGATTGATAACAGTTTAATTTTGTATCTTATTTGTTGTTTATTGTAAGCTCTACGAGATATGAATGATGTGTACTTTTAGTAAAACGTTTTCTATTAGAATATTTAGAGTTTCATTTGAATAATTTTATATCGTAATCTTTACTTCTGTAATACAGCTCAAGATAAATGCCAAAACTTGATATGATCAATTGAATGATGCCTTAGTTATAAATTCCATTCAACCTTTAGTATTTAATGTGGAGATATGATCATTTTTGAAATTTTGACTTTTAGTTTGAAAATACTACAAGTAACTTTGACTACGGTGATGCCCGACATCCCTTGACTGAGCTCTAAAAATAAGCTCTAATGTAATTTTGATTCGATCAAACAAAAGTTATTGTGGTAGATCTCGGACAGAGATATTATGAAAATTATTCGCAAGGAAGAGGAAATCTCTAACACATGAGAATTTACGATATTAAAATGGTGAAAATTCTAGCAATAGTAAAATATTCTATTTGCGCAAAATTCATACAATTACCAACTCAGAGTATAAATTTCTTCGTTCTTAGAAGATGTAAAAAATTCATCTGGAAACTGATGATATCGTTGTAGAAGCATTTTCCCAAAACCAGAAGCATTTTATCTTATATATAACTGTATGTATGCTTTTTTTCTAAATATAGATTTGAGACTATGACAATGTTATTTTCTATTGTTTGTTCAACTTAATTATAGTTTCAATCTGTATAACAGAAAGAAGAGTAAGAGAGTGTATATCTATCCACGAAGACACATGAGAAAAAAATGATTTTTCTCGATAGACTTTTTTTTCTCTTGTTGCATTATTCTTTTTTTTTTGTTGGTTTTTGCCTGTCATCTGGAAAATATAAACTGTTCCACTCTTGATTAATCATTTCTCCCTGTCATGCTAGTTATATGTGGACATCTGTAATTATTAAAGGAGGACATAGGAAAACAACAGACTTGTCACGTATCGATACAGCAAAGAGAGAAGAAAAAAAAAATGAGAGAAGACTAGTATAAAAGTTACTTTTCTAATAAATATAGTTGTGAGAGTGGGGAGATGTTATTGTTGATTTAAGAAAATGAGATCGTACTAAATAAGTCAAAAACAGCTGACAGGTAACAATATATGTTGAATATATAAAAAAAATATATTTTTTTTAGTTAATTTTAACAGAGATATTTAGATTAAAAAAAAACAAGTTTTAACTGAGTAAATATTGTGCAAAAGATCGTTGTGTAGTTGATATCACATACATGTTCTTGCTTAGAATAATATAGTAGAAAGTATATGTTTCCAACTTTTGTTGTATTTTATTGTTGAAGAAGTTTTTAAGTCGTTTATTGCATGAAATATGATCAATTTTCACAACTTTTACAAATATCAAGTTCAAAATAGGAGAAACCCTTATAGATATTTCGTTTTTGCTAGAAAACTCTAATGATAAATTTGTCTAGGTATTAACGATGGTTTAATGTATGAACTTGAGTAAGAAATTTTTTCTTTCGAATTTTTGTTTGATAATACAATTATTTTTAAGCTATTTCTTGCTTCTAAACATTTTTGTTTAACTAGAAGAAAATTTTATACTAATATCAATAACGGTTTACCTACGTTAGCTTGTTCCTGTTTACCAAGACAAAAGAATCTTATATGAAGAAAAGAACTTGTACTGATTAATCTATGATATTTTCACAATGTTTTTCTTCTATAAAACGGATAGTTTCATGTAATAGTCTCAATCATGAAATAAAAGAACAGAAAACAAGAAAAAAATCATAGACAATCTGATGAGCCTCTTAAAACTACAGGTTTTTATACTTCTTTTAATACCCATTTAATTTGAACGGTAAGAGAAGGTAAATAAAAACTTATACTAAGAAGAACTGTGTGGAGATTTCCGCTGAGTATTCAATATGGTATCATGATTTTTTATGACTATTTGTCATTTAGTCTCTATAGATGAGAAAAGTAATTTAAAAAAATCAACAAAATTATACTCTTTTTTAAAGGTGTTTTCGTATGAACAAATAACGTCAAACGGTCAGTTTTCAACTCCTAAAATGATAGAGTCGAACGAAAAACCTATACATTTAAATACTAAACATTGAAATTACATTTAGAACAATTTTTCGAAATACCTACAATTCTATAATTTCAAATTCAAAATGATAATCGGCAGTTTATCATTATGAGTCTTTTTATAGATATTTTGTACCATTATTGAATGATAACAGTGAAATATAGTAGTCTGATTCAATTCGATAACATTATTACGGTATCAATACGTAAAATATCAAAGATCAACTTTTTCAAACTTCTATAGGGATGAAAAAGATCTTGTCTAATGAGTTTAAAATATGTTTAAAAAAGAAAAATATTGGTTAACAAGAATCTGAATCTTCTTAAAGTATATATGAGTATGTCTGATAAAAATCACAGTACAATTATAATATCTGTCATGTCATGAAGAGTATAGTTTAAATAAATTGTAAGATATTAAAAAAAAAAAATGTTTTCATATCATATCAAAGATAGATTTCTGAGCTCTTTTTCTTTTTCCCGGATTCAATATTTAAATTGATCTTGTGGTTATTTGTAATAATATATTAGCGAAAAACTAAGAATAGGTTTACTTTGATAAAAAAAAAAATAGATAGATAGACTCTTTCGATTATGAAAAAGTGGAGAAAAGAAAACACTCGAGGGTCGATGTTTTTTTTATCATTTGTGTTACTGAATGATATCTGTCCCTTTGAGGAAAAAAATGATACAAAAAAAAATATTCTTACCTATATCAATTTTAAAAAAGAAAATAAGTAACAATGGTAAACCTAGTATATTTAAAGTGTTTCTTAGTGCGTTTGCTTTGTTAATTATGTCAATATAGACATGAGCTCAACAGATTTATTGATAGGAAAACATAGATGAAAATCAGAGCTTAATCTCTTGTTATTGTGTTAAACATAAAGACAAGACGAAAGCTCTACTTTTCTTTCATCTATATGACCTTTTAATTGCATTAGATATTTTTTATATTCTTTTCCTTCCAGAATAATCTTTATTTTCTTGTTATTATGACAATGGTTGATCCACAAGATCAACAACAACTGAAAATGTCTATTCAACAAAACGTATTATCATCACAAGATGTAAATTCAATTGCAAGTGTTATTATCGGTATAGAGTCGAATACAGAATCAAAATTAACAAAACAAAACACTGTTCAAAACAAATAAAAATATACCCTCATTCAATCCAAAAATATCCATGGATAGGTACGAAAAAATTGATTTGATTTTGACCTTCTTTTTTCAGAAGAGTTATTGGACAAAAAATAGTGACTCCTATACAACTCGTGAACGATGATAACTTTAAACTTGAAAATAGTGTAAAACTATAGCGTAGACGCTCTAAGAACAGTTCTGTTGTCCTGACGAGATGGTTCATGAGATAGAAAAATTTCATTTTTTTCTCCAGTAAATTGTTTACCAGCATCTAATTCATAGAGGATAAATAGTTTCGTGTAGCTATTCCAGAATATAGTCATGACCCTCTTCTTTTTGTGACTTAAGTAAGGTGCACCAGACGCAAAAGCACAGTGGAAAAGTTTTTCGATTAAATTGTACTTAGCTATTTAGAGCTCGACCAGCTAATTCTGAATATATAGTTTTTAATTTATTTTAACGAGGTGTTTTTGGGTGCGAAATCTTGAAACTACAAGTTAGCCCTCAAAAAAACGAAAATTTGATCACCCAGGTGATTGAATCGTACTATTCGATCGTACAAGATCGTATACGAATCATACGAAATTATATACGATTATGTACAATTTACATACGAATCTTGGTAACTGATTTGCCATCGAGTTCGTACTGTAGGAGTTCATACGAAGTTGTATGATCGTATACGATCTTGTACGATCGTATTATACGGTCCGGAGGACAAATCAGATACCACGATTCATATATGATTTTCATACAATTTGGTACGATTTTGTCTGATTCAGATACGATGGTACACGATTTGTTTGACCTGGGTAATTTCGAGAAAATTCAAGATTTTCGCACTTTAAATTAAGTCTTAATTTTCTGAAACTATTTTATTCGGATTCAACATCAAAAACTGAGTGTGGAATACTAGATTGAAGAATTTTATGGTGACCCTCTCGCTTCTCACGCTCGAGTAGGGTCACCGAGGGCCACACTGACCCCTCTCACACTCACCCCCCTGAAAGAACAAAAGTGTTCATTTTTGGGAAGTGATTCCCAAAAAAGAACACTTTGCACTTGGACTCCTGGACTTCAGGAGTCCATGGGAGTCCAGGAGTCCAGGAGTCCATGGGAGTCCAGGAGTCCATGGGAGTCCAGGAGTCCAGGAGTCCATGGGAGTCCAGGAGTCCAGGAGTCCATGGGAGTCCAGGAGTCCATGGGAGTCCAGGAGTCCAGGAGTCCATGGGAGTCCAGGAGTCCATGGGAGTCCAGGAGTCCATGGGAGTCCACAGTAGTCCATAGGAGTCCAGGAGTCCGCTTTTTCTCCCTTGGTAAAACTACATCAGAAGCCGATTGGAGTGTCGGAGAACGTTTACGCTATAGTTTTACATACTATTTCACGTTCAAAACTATCACCGTTCACACGTGGCATAGGATCGAGTAGTATCTTAGCCTATTACAGTAAATTTTTCTACTTTCGCTTGACTTTTAGCATCGCTATGTGATATATTAGAATTGCAAATGTTCTTTTTTTTAGTTTTCTATGTATTCGTCGCCAGTTATATCCTCGTCTATGGACAATTCGTACTTATTTAATATTACTATGTTTAATTGTTTTATCTCAATCGATGATCTCATCAGGTTATATTGGTGCAATTGTCTCTTCATTAGAGCGGTATTATGCTTTTTCAACATCAAAATTAGGTTTTGCATTTAGCGTTTACGATATTACGGGTGTATTTGCTATACCATTAGTAAGTTATTTGGGTTCAAGAAATAATCGTCCACGAACAGTTGCTTGTGGTGCTCTAGTATTTGCAATTGGAAATATTATTTTTATATTACCGTATTTTATAAATGGTTACTATATTAATGATCAGAATAATGAATTAAGTAATCAAACAAACATTTATCAATCTCATTTATGCGGTAGTGATAATTATATTTACGACAATATTTGTATGAATATAACACGAAAAAAACAAATTAAACAAGAACAACAGTCTTTATTGTTCCATTTGGCACCATCCGATCTATTAGAAAACGAACATGATACACTTATCTCAATTAAACAACCGTCACATGAAAATAATTGGACATACTATATTATTATTATAGCCATGATAGTTATGTCAATAGGCACATCGCCATTTTACACATTAGGAGTGACGTATTTATGCGATTATCTACATAAAGACGATCAAAGTATTTGTACAAGTAAGTTGTTTAGTCTGTTTTACTAGACTAAAGTAATTATTCTTGATACAACGATTGTTCTAGTGATATATTTCGAAGCAGGTTTATGTTCTTAATATGAAATATTTCACTTTTTCTTCTTATAGCACAGACGGTAAAACTATTTCCGTTATGCCCTAATAAACATTTTGTATAATTATTCGCACATTGGTGTTCTAGTCAGAATTAATTATGGATGTAATGTTTTAAAATTAATAATATATAGTACACGTATCTCACTATTGCTCACTCATTACACAAAATACATACAGATTGATACTTTATACACACAATAAAAGATTTCATTAATTCAAAAACTTATTTTCTACATTTACTTATTAAGAAATTTTTCCACAATGTTCTATTTAGTGATTCGTATACTCGGTGGGATGCACATGTTTTTGTTTTTCATTGATTGAATCATAGTTCATCTGTATGAGAGATGTGTTCATGTTTTTCGGGTGTATGATGATGAACAGGTGGACGTAATCGAACAACTTTATATTGAGGTAATGTGACTGGTTTTTCTGGTAATTCCATTGACTGACAACAACGAAACCCTAAATTATAAGCGGTATACGATCTTCTATGACCTTTTCGAGCCGATATTCGCACCTGGATACCGTCACTTTTCGCATCACCATCGCGCGTATCAAGAAACGAGCCACCTTTAACTGTATAACGTTCTTGATCATCTTCTTCCATTGGATGACTTAAATTGCGAAATCTAAATGGAAAAAGTGATTGCAGAATTTGAGATAGACGAAGTAAAGAATTGAGAATACAGTTTCCAGCAGCGTTATGAGACTAGTGGATAGCCTGACATCGTACTTCAAAGGTACGATGTTCAATATTAGCCATGTCCTCACATAATAGCCTTGGCAAGTAAGTATGCACCAGTTAAAAACTGGTGTTAGAGCTTTCACGAAAATTATTATAAGTCGCCTATAAAGAATTACCCAGAGTCGTGAAACCTGTCATTTTGTAGAGAAATGTTTGCTCTTGAAAACTCGCCCATGAAAAAAATTTGAAGCTATTTCCAGGAAAAATGTGAGCATTCTAAAATGCGCTAAATACAGAAAAAAAAGTGTTCGAACAGTTTTTTCTGTATTTAGTGCATTTTAGAATGCTCATATTTGTATCACAGATAACTTTGAAATTTTTCTACTTATTTGAGATTGTAGTTCAAACATTTCCCTACAAAATGAGAGATTCCACGACTCTGAGTAATTCTTTATAGGTCACTTATAACAAGTTTTGTGGAAGCCCTAACAACACTTTTGAATTTGTACATATTTATTGGCAAGCTACGGTTTAATGCTCGTTGTCAAACTACAGGAAAATGTAATGTCCAAAAAACTCTTTTCAGAAAATATCAGCTATACTTTCGACTTCACCTGTAGATTTCTGTGCCACGTGATAAATACTATTCGGTATACCGATCAGTCACCAAATTTATAGAACAAAACCGAGCGCGTATCTCTTTCTGATATTTAAAATCAATTTTTTTCTAACCTATACGACTGTTCTTTTCTTGTGTTTATTTGAATTACTAATCAATTCTGATCTCTTTGTCTTTTTCTTTTGAAGTTAGCTTATTAGCGTGGTTAAGCTCTTCATTAATGACTATAATGGAGCTTAGCTATCCTGTCTTTTTGAACTAGACTATGACTGTTAATAATCCCAGGCAGAAAAGAGTAAGCAAGGAAATCTAGCTTATTAAAGAACTCAAGCGCCCGCTTAATCGTAGATTTTTTGGGTGAAATAGCTAGCGGCGCCGAGCAGGTGCCCATTTGCTAGCTGCAAGAGGTCGATCCAGTGAGCGCTTAACTGAACGATAGCCCCGAATTCAAACACATCCGCTAGCTTCAATTCACTTAAGCTAGCTTTGACGGATTTAAAAACTGGTTCAGCTGGCTGCAAGCGCACCCTTCACGATTTTATTTTCTGTTTGGGATGTCTTTTTTCCACGCTCAATGCGGCTTTCATGACATTTTTTTCTCTTCTCAAATAAATAGTCTACACACAGTGTAATGGAGCTTGCCTGCTGTTCCATTATAGTCACGAAGCAGGAGTTTAGGAACAAATACAGTTTGTTCAGGTCATATAGAGATTTACCTTGTCAATGTCCACTCCCAAACGTTCCCTAACATATCATATATTTCGTAATCATTCTGTGGTCCGTACTCTTCAACTGATGCTATACCATATTGTCCATCTCGCAATTGATTATCATCTGGAAATGTACCTTGCCATAAATTTGTTCTTCTTAATTCCCACATATCACCCCACGGATATGCAACGCCTATCAAATGAACGAATAAAGTGAATATGAGAAAAATACAAGTCCTTACGTACCATCCAATCCACCTCTCGCTGTATATTCCCATTCGATTTCTGTTGGTAAACGCATGCCTTTCCAAGCACAATAAGCTTGTGCATCATCAAATGAAACATGAGTAACAGGATGATTCAAACGATTAGTTATCTGAGAAAAACCACCTTCTGGTCTATTCCATCGTGCATTTGCCACACCAATTAGACCTTCATCCACCTCATCAGACTGAAAAATAAATTGAATAATATACAGTAATTACCAAAGTAGACACGTCAATTCATACTTCAACATCAAATATCTCTGAATCATCAACAAGTATTTTTGTAAATACATAACTGAAACCATTTAGATCAGCCGTTGTACGAAAACGTGGTTTATCTTGAGTATAACGACGAAATGCTGATATTGTTACAGGATATTGAAATATTCTAAAGTCAAATACAGATCGAATGGTTTGTAGAGTATGCGTTATAATAAAAATAAACGAAAATAAATTGAAGAAATTAGATTGAACACTTGGCGATTCTAGACAGAAGAAACGTTGTGTGAGATAGTTAGAAGTTAAGTAATTGTTAGTTTAACAAAAAGAGATATTCAAAGTATCCAACTGATCATATTATGTCAACAACAAAATAGCCATTTGTAATAATAGTTACAATAACTCTACCAAGTGTCAATCGTATAATGTAAGATTATAATTCAATTAAATAAATTTTTTCTCAAGACATATAAAATAAAAATGTTATTAAAAATGTAGATACATGTAAATTCATATTTATCCGAGGAATTCATCGTATAATCATAATTATCATAATAATCATCGTTTTGATTAATAGATGGTGTATTATTAAGTTGTATTTCATTTGTTTCTGTTGATAATTGCAGAGAACTCGTACAGTTAATGCATATAATAAATAAAATAATATTTATTTTAATGAAATTGTACATAATGCTTAGATAAACTTAACGGTCTCTTACTAATACAGTATTCTGCTTGCTTAACAAAGAAGTGATCAACCGTAACATTGGGTGTGTGTAACTTAGTTAATACTAGGAAAAAAGGCAACGCCCTTAATTTTGATTAACGCATCAAATATCTTACCACGAGACTTTTTTAAGACTTCAACAGACTGAAATGCTTTTCCCTCGTCTGTTGTTCTTGTCTAAAAAATTGTTGAGACAACGTGCGCATCTGGAATGTTTTATTATCTACAGTCATCGGTGCCTCATTGATTTTTACCAATAGCGCACTAAACTTTTTTCTGTTGCTGAGAAAGAACCACATTTGTTCGGAAAGTAACACCGATATATACTTGTTTTTAGAAAAATACATGGATGCACAAAAGTAAAATAAACATGATTCTATTTAAAGAGAGAGAACTACAGTCTTGTAGAAACGATTTGTTTTTGATTTTTCCTCCTCGTCCATAATTGCTAAAACAAATCAGAAAAAAGAGTTGAATAGCTGAAAGAATTTTCAACCTGGTATGGTGCATACAAGAATTTCATAAAAAGTTCTGAAATTAGGGATTCTAGAAAACTAAAATTCTAGAGAAGTGAGTCCCAGGATTCGATTCGAAACTTTTGTAAATAAGTCCCTAATTTCAGAGCTTTTTATGAAATTCTTGTATGCACCATACCAGGTTGAAAATTCTTTCAGCTATTCAACTCTTTTTTCTGATTATGGACGAGAAGGAAAAATCAAAAACAAATCGTTTCTATAATTTTGCACTGGACTGTGGTTCTCTCTCTTTAAGGGTACACCTCTTTTTTCATCTTGTTACCAAATGCACAGCTCACGTCCGATTGAGCTCAAATTTATAACAGAGATAGAAGATTGAAAAAGAAAATCGATATATTTTTGCACAGAATTTTCCGAGATGTTCTTATATGGGTTTTCTGAAAAACTCCAGTTTTCATTCAGTCACGTTACCACCCCTCGAAAAAATGGTCCGATCGACCTCAAACTTTTACCACAAATACTTTAGATCCTATCCCAGGATGTAAATTATTTTTCTCCAAGAAATATGCTTTCCATCTCGATATATAGCAAAAATACTGAAAATCAGTGAAAAAAAACTGAAGAAATCTGACTTTTTTTTGCGTGGTTTCCAGCATTTTTGATCTCTCGCATAAAAGCATATTTCTTGGAGAAAAATAATTTACATCCTGAGATAGGATCTAAAGTATTTCTGGTAAAAGTTTGAGGTCGATCGGACCATTTTTTCAAGGAGTGGTAATGTGACTGAATGAAAACTAGGGTTTTCCAGAAGACCCATATAAGAACATCTCAGAAATTCTGTGCAAAAATATATCGATTTTCTTTTTCGATCTCCTATCTCTACGATAAATTTGAGCTCAATCGGATGTGAGCTCCGTATTTGGCAACAAGGTGAAAAAAGAGGGAGGGGGATGTACCCTTAAACAGAATCATGTTTATTTTAATTTTGAGCATTCATGTATTTTTCTAAAACAAGTATATATCCATGTTACTTTCTGAACAAATGTGGCACTTCCTCAGCAACAGAAAAAAAGGTTAAGACGATACTGGTAAGAAACAATCTTGGTTTTTCTAAAAGAACGTCGCCGTTTCGTCAGCTTTTTGTCCTAGAGGCTCGAGCTTGGTCTCATTCGTTTCCTCATTAAAAACTGATCTTAGGCAAGCCACTTTCAAGTCTCCAAACCAAAAACTGAAAGTTTGGCCAGGTATTGAATTTTTAAGGTCAAAATTCGAGATCCTATCTTCAAAAACCTATCTAGTTTCTTGAGTTAAGAGCTATACCCTTCGTTTATACGTCAAACGATGCGCCTTGCAACAAGCTTTAAAATGACGTAGAGATGTTTTTTAAATTTTGTTTCATTGCTGAGAAAGTTCAGTAAAACAAGTATATATCGGTGTTACTTTCTGAACAAATGTGGCACTTTCTCAGCAACAGAAAAAAGTTTAGTACGATACTGGTAAAAATCAGTAAGGTACCGATGTTAATCGACACTTAAGGGCATTAGTAGTGGCGTACTGAGTTTTATCGGTGTCGCATCGAAATTTTTTTTGCAAGGTAAAAAGAGGTCATCACTTTCAAACTTTTCAAATTTTTATGAGTATTCGCAAACTTTTCTTAGATGAAAAAAATAGATTTTTCGCTCAAGATTCATACGAACAGATATCAGCTTCAAGAACTATCTATACTCGATTGACATATTTATTTTTAAAACGGTAAAGATTCATCAAATATCCATGACCTTGAATAAAATCGAATTTAACGATCAACATTCCTCAAAAAGTACATTGTTTCTCGCAGAATCAAAAGTTGACTAGCAAAGCAGAGTCCGAAACGAATCGAATGATTCAACATTCGATTCGATTCGGCTTTGTGTTGAATGGAACCAAATTTGATTTTTACGAACAAATGATTTTTTGTTTTTGCTATAATGTATGTTCGAAGCACAACAATAACAGTTTCTGCTCATGTGTTCTAACTCAAGGCAGTGTATTTTAAACAAACGTTTGAAAGCAGAAGAGAAGCAACCTTTAATTTGCATCGAAATGGGACGAATCGAATCGAACCAATTTAGGATTCCAAAATGTTGACTCGAATCGAATCAGGTTTTTCTGATTTGTTTCTGGCTCTGTAGCATAGTAAAATATCGGTGAATTCTAGCTCATGGAAATCTAGATGAAACTATGTAGATAATCTTGATCTTCAACTACTAAGAGAAAAGAGAGCGATTGAAACGAACTAAAGTACAAAAAATATTGAACTTGAATAAAATACTGTTAACATTAGAATGGGAGAAGTTTAATTTTTTTAAAATCGTTCACTATAATCGTCAAAAATCTTATAGTTATTTAAAAATCTGTGAGTTTGATACCAAAGCAGTGTAGAATAGTATTCATAGAAATCTAACGGACAAATTTATTAATTACTATATTACCTAAATGGTTTAACAATTGCTTTTTTTTGTGGATATTCAAAATTGAGGCCATGTCGATCGTTAATACCCATTCGAAACTCTCCACCTTTTAATTCAACAAATGATTCTAAATGTCGAAGTTTTTCAACCATTTGATCTACATTTTGTCCACATGTTAGTTTTAAGGTATAAACTAACAAAATAATAAATGAGTTCATTGTTTTAATACTTTTCTTCAATGACTGATGATAATGTCGTGGCATATTAAAATGAAGGCTATATGTATCAGGAAGAGACGCATTTGGCGTCAGATGGACCTTCTCTTTCTTTTTTTTGCATTTTTTTCTATTCTGTTCTTTAGGTATTCTTTATGGAATGGTAGCGTTAGGTCCTGCACTTGGCTTTCTAATGGGTTCAGCTTTGTTATCACAATGGATTAATGTTGGTCAAAAAGTACCAAATAATTTGACTACTCACGACCCAAGATGGATTGGACGATGGTGGGCAGGTTTTTTAGTATCAGCGTCCATGTTAACGATACTTAGCTTACTTCTATTTACATTTCCAAGAAAAATGATCAAACCGGATCATGCACAATCAAACCATGGACAACAAATGACAACTGCAGTTCAGTTATCCAGTACAATTGAAACTCACCCATCTATTGATATTAATCAATCGTCTACAAGTGTGTGTGCATTGGGTAATGCAGCCACAAGAAAACATACATTACCAAAAATAAAAGCTCATCCAAATGTTAAAAATGCATTCAAATTATCACAATTAAAAGGTAAGCTGTTTTTTTTTTGTTTAAAACTTCATTAAATTGATATATTACTGTATTTCTTCTAAAATAAAGAAAGTAGTCTTAATGTTGAAATAAATAAATTTTAAGATTATTTAAAATTCTATTTATTTTTAGATATATTAACGAGTGTACGAGATTTATTATTAAATTTTACATATCTATTGATTGTTCTTGTTAATTCAGTTGAAAGTGTGAGCAACTAATTTAACACTTTTTAGATAGCGTTACAATTGTCTTTGTTTTCGTTTTAGATTCTCGTTGTATCGTTTACAACCTATATGGTCAAATATATTGAAAGTGTATTTCATTTGTCGTCATCTATATCAAGCATATTAACTGGTAAGATGTTTTAAATTATCATGTCATGACATAGTTGTTTTCCATAATATATTTTTTCTAATCTTAAGTTCAACATGAATACTATCATTGTTTTAATTGATGTGACAAATGTGACTGAAACCTACATTCATTACATGTGAATGTGTAGACAACTACTGCATTCATTAAAAATCGGAAATTTTTTTTGACAAGAATGGATTTATCAGGGGATCTCTGGGAATCCTAAACACTGATAGAAATCTCTTTTACCGTTTAATGAATGCCAATCGGTAGAATAGTGTATTTGGAGTACTTTAGACCAATAACTGTATCTTTGAAACCATTCTAGCTAACCCCTTAGGACTTGCGTAGATCGATAGAAGACACTTTAATTTGTATGTCTCTTAAAAAAGATTATAACCGACAATGAAACTTTTTTGAACAAGAGAAAGTTAAAAAAATCGACAAGATATCAGAGCTGGGCAAGTCAGAAGTTTTACAAGTCACAAGTCAAGAAAAAAAATTTTCAAGTCTAGTCGAGGTGGGAAAAGTTTTTCTCCCCATTCAACTCAAGTCACCCGTTGAAATTTTTTCCTCCTAGTCTGGTTAAAATTAGGCAGAACATAAAATTTGCTACAACCTTTTGTGTGAGAGATTTTTTATAGCCTCCAAAACTCTCTTTCATGGTAGAAAAAGTCTAATTAAACGAAAATTTCTTACTAGAAATGGGTTGACTTGAAAGAAAATTTCGAAATGATCTCGTGAGAAGAGCAGAATCAAACCTTCAAAGTATAGAAATCAGATTGTCCATATAAGAAAACAGTTATCACAAAATTTTGATTAATCCCTGACGATGTTAATAACCATGTACACTGTGTTTTAAAATAAATAGTAAATTTACAGAAAAAATTCACAATTGTTCATGCTGCAAGCTCGAGTTGCAGGGGTGGTAAATGCCACCAAACAACAGAAAACTTCATGATTCTAGAAACATAGTTTTAACATAACTTTATGCTCTGGAACATGGTCTATCTTTTTCCTCTACTCCAAAATCTTAGATCAACCTGCCTTCATCCGTATACATTCAAAATAGATGGGCCAAAGTAAAAGTCAAATGCTTCAGTCTGGCAAAGGCTTTTCTTCAACGTTTAATCTCAAAATACATCTAAGGCTATTTAGACATAGAAAATGCGGGTTTTAAATGGTTGATGTAATTGTAAATGTCACAAATTTTGTATATTTTTTGCATATTCTGCTTATATGACACAATGAAACAGTCTGTTATATTTTTAGTCTGATTTGTGAAATACGTACCTCAAGTAGGAAAGATTGAATGCGATTCAGAAATGTTTTGTTTCGAACAGATCTTCATGGATTTTTAATTTACACAGATTGGAAAAGCTAGTGGATGGCTTTATAGAGTACAACTGTTTAGAGCAGAATAATGACCATTTTTCGATAATGGCATAGCAATGTTCATTTCGCTAGTTAATTATCTTTGATTATATTATTTAATTTTAGGAGCTATTGTTATTCCAGCAGCTGTTTTTGGAACATTATTTGGAGGATGGTTAGTCCGGCGTAATCACATGGGTATTCGTGGATGTGTGAAGCTAATTCTGGTCGGTTGTATACTATCATGGGCGGGTTTAATTTCGTTATTATTTTTATCATGTAAACGTCCAGCTATTATTACATCACTTAAAAATAGGTATCTATTTACAAATTATTTATTGTAGATATAAGAAGCCAGAAGAGTATCACTATCTTCATAGTTAGAGTCTAAGGAGAAATTAAATAAAAGTTTATTTTTATAATGAGCAGTTATTTTATTTTCTTGATTTACAATTTTTACGTTATACTCCTATGCTCAAAATCCTAATTGCTAAAGCAAGTACTAATCACTCACCATATATTAGCATTCGAATGAGAGTTATAAATTTTTTTACTATGTTCTACTATTTTTACACTTTCGGTTATAGAAGTGATTTTTCGCGGCTTTCGAACAAGTGTTCTAGAAGCTTCGAAAAAGCCGGGTCTTCAAATGTTAGCTTTTTCCTGGATACTTATGCAGTTAACTTGAAGTATTTCTCAAGATCTTTTAATTTACTTCAAGCTAGGGAGTTCGGGTTTGTTTTATTTTAAACTAAACAGCTGACAACATGGCCTGCCCGGCACCGATTTTTCAATTAAGTCTAGTATACCGACTCTAGGGCATACAACACTAGGGCGTACGACACCAGGACGCCGACATTCGGGCGCAATGACATTTGGCCGCAACGGTAGTTGGGTTTCATAGGTGAGGGTGGGTATCGATGAAGATTAAACAAATAGTGATTACAGTTGACTATCAGTTGTGAAATAATATAGAACAAGCTCCCACACCCTGCCAAGTTTGTTTAAAACAAAATATTATCGTTATGAATCATACTTTTATCAAATGCACTCTTAGTGAATGCTTTGTCGTCCATGCCTCCTAATGTCGTTGCACTCTAGTGTCGTGTGCGCCCAAGCGTCTGGTAATCATTAGGTCTTAGTTTTTTGTCAAATTGAGGATTTCTAGAAAACCATAGAGCGTTTTTCGAGTTCGAAAGGTTGTTGGTAACCTATAAAACGAATAAAGGCTTAATTGAAACATCGGTGCCGGTCAGGGGGGACTTAAAATAAGACTTCCTCCAGATCTTTCTAACACAGGTATAAGCATAGCCGGACGAATCTTTTCGTATCTGTCATCTATTTTCTAATGTGTTTTCTAAAGACTAATGAACTACATGTGGCACCATTATGATCCTTAGTTAACCACATACAATGGAGATGAACGTACTAGTATATTTTATTGAAAATATTACAATATTTTCCACGTATGTTCAGTGTATCATCTTTTCTTCTTGAATAAAAGCAAAAATACTGAAAACCTCTGCGTAATAAAAGCATAAAAATTTTGCATTTCAAAGTGTCTAGAAAAAAGTCCGGAAATGAGAGACGGGATACCGTAAAAAAACATAGAAAATATGATGGTTTTATGACATTACATTGAGTAGGTTTGGGATAGCACTATTTCAAAATGACTGAAATTGATAATGTTGAAAGATTCCCTAAACATGTATGAATCCATAAAGAATACAAGTTCCTAAATTTTTGTAAATCACATTCCTTAAAACATTTGTCTATTTTAGTGATTCATTGATTGATCAGTGCGTTGAGTCATGTTCTTGTTCGCCATTTGTATTTGAACCAGTTTGTTACGAAAATCGTGTGACTTATCTATCCCCATGTTATGCTGGTTGTACATATTCAAATTCAACAGCAAGTATCTGATTATATTGCTGTTAAATGTAATTATTTCATTTTATTTTTACAGAGTCATTATAATTGTTCGTGTGTGTTGGGTCATGATCATCATGTAAAAAGTGGTTCATGTAATAATCCATGTTATTTAAAAATGATATTTTTTATGACTATTCTATTTTTCGTTACATTTTTTCAAACAATTGGTGCAACACCACAATTAATTATCATATTACGATCAGTTCAACACGAATTACAGTCATTTGCATTGGGTCTCGAAAATATGATCATTAAACTGATTGGTAAGTAATTCTCGAATTGTTAAACGATAGAAGATGATTTATTAGACAAGAAAAATCAAATCTACGATTAAGTATGAAATCTTGGTTTTTTAGCTCATATTCCTGTTCCAATTATATTTGGTACAATAATTGATGATACATGTCTATTTTGGAATCGTAATTGTGATCGTCGTGGTTCATGTTTTTTATATAATGGTAAGTGATGATCGTCTAATAAGAACCGTTTCTTTCCCAAAAGATATTGATAGTGTACAAAAGAAAAATGGAAAATTATCGTTTATATATTTAAATAAAATCTATTTGTATTTAGGTGATCGTTTACCATTGACATTATTCGGTGCGACAATGGTTATGAAAGGTGTATCTCTTATATTACTAATCATTCTACTGTGTTTAACTATACGAATCGCAAACTGTCAATCATCGTCGACAACGCCAAATGAATTATCACAACCTTCTTTTTCTCCTAATGCTACTAATCATATTGAATCACAAACAGCAACAGCAATTACTGAACAGAAAAAAAAAGGTGAATTTGAAGAGGAGAAAGATCGTCTGTTGAATATACCACAATCTTAAATAATGAGTTTTAATATAACTGGTCAGCTTAGTTTAATGCAACTGATCTGTCGATCATTATTTTATAACATCGATATTAGTTTTCTTTCATAACGATCTATATATATTGCCATTAATAACAAAAAAATCATGTTTTGTTGTTTGTATTGCTTTTACTATTACTACATAAATATTCACATCGAAGGTGTTTTTTTTTTCAGATATATATTTCAAAGAATCTCTGTATCTTTTATATTCTATTGTTATGTAACGTTATAATACATCTATTTTTATTTTTTGTCTGATCAAACTAAAGTCAAAGTCAGAATGAATCTTTTTTTTTCAAAATTGTTTTTGCCTTTTTTTTTTTATTATTATTTATTTATTTTTCTTCTTTTTATGTCTAATTTTAGAAGTTTTCTTTAATGCAAACTTTGTTAGAAAAGATGTAGATTAAAATATTAAAGATTGAATAGAAATAGAAATTAAATTTATTAAAAAGCATGTTTTGTTTGATAAAAATCTCGTTAGTTAAAGATCATGAACAATGATAATTTTCAATTAATCAGTTTTGGTATTAGTAACCAGTGAAAATAGAATGTATTTTGCATTATAGTGTCACAATTCAAGAATACTATATAACATTTTCTAAACCATCTGTCCGTACAAAGCATCCGCTTAACTTGTTCTGAATAGTTCAAGTAGTGTTTTGTAGTTGATTTTTTAATAAATCGATGTACCTTGATGTCCCCTGGTGAGTGACGAAAATCGTTGGCCTTTACTTTTTTTTTTTTCTAACAAAAATTATTCAATAAGTAATCAACGAAATTCTATTTGACATTAGACTTTCATATCTAATAATAGTGTAATCATCAAAAGAAGTTGCATTATCCAATATAAAACTTCAATCTCTACAAAGCGATATATTTGATTTTGTTTACAAGTTTTCTCTTTATGCCGAAAACAGACAGAGTCTTCTAGAGAATTTATTAGTGTTTTCTGATTTTATCTCATAGCACTGTTCTTGGTCAACATAGTTTCGAGAAGTTTTCATTAGTGAGGTACTTATAATACTTTAAATATTATGTGGAGAAAACTCAACTACTTTTGATATCAGATATACCATTTTGTAGAGAATTAAGTTCTACATCGTTTGATTATAAAATAAACTTTAAAATGATGCATCGATTAGAGAAATTTAATTTTCAAAAGTTCCATCTGTTAAACTTTATAAGCAACATCAACTTTTTTCATCTCTTTTCTGTTGGTTACTGAATAAATTGTTGATTTTCAACCTTTGTTTCGTTTTTCCTTTTATTTGATGTGATAGCAACCGGATTATATTCAGAGAAATTTTTGATGACGAAATAATAGCAAAAACAAAAAATTTTTCAAGAGTAATAGAGAATATGACTTAAAAAAAGTTTATATTTAAGATATCGCGTGTCTTAAAGTCAACAAAAGAAAAATAGAAAAAAAACGAATGTTTGAGATCGAAAAAAAAAATGAGAAGGGAGGCAATTTCCCCAATGTATATTAGAATAAGTTTGTTTGATTTTACTTTTTTACTTATACTCTTACATAGAGTATGAACAAAACCTTAGCAAATGGGAAAAATGTTACAAGTTGCAAATATTACAAGTAAGCAGCTGTATTATCAATGACAAATGTTGGGAAATCACTTCTTCATCAATTATTCATTTAATATTGAATAGATTTTCTCGTAGAAATGATTTATTATTCACTGTAGATCCTAAGTACTTTGAGATGAATGTGGATTTTTGCCTCCATCATACTGAAGTTAAAATGATGAAGCGTTTAAATTTGAAAAAAATTTCTTGTAAACAACACTTATTGTCCGTAATAAAGGTTTTAATATGTCATGTTAATACTGAGAAGCGAACATAATCAGTTAGGGTTATACGATAAATAATTTAACTATAATGCTAGTATAGATTCCATTTAGAATAGTTTATTTCCATTTTTTTATTATCGATAGAACCGGAAGGAATGTGAGAAAGTTTTAATCTCTATTTGATAATGTGTTAGTTGAGAATCCGATAGAACTCTAACATACGTTTTTTGTCCTTATGACATCATGTTGACATCATATTATTTTTATTTTAACTATCTTACATGAGGACAAAAATGAATGAAAAAAAAATGCACTTAGATGATTGCTTGAGAATAAATAAAAAGAATCAGCAAAAGAAGACTACGTAATATTAACCTGCACCTAAACAAAATTTTATTTTTTCAAGTATGTTTTTGTTAATGTTAAAAGAGAATGACATATAAAAGACGAGAAAAGGTATATTAAAAACTATGGATGAGATTTTTAAATAAAGTTTTAATTAAATCCACCAAAGTGATTAATATTTTTTGCTGAGTTTGGAAAATTATAAAACTTACCTATTTATTTTTATTTAGTGTCTTACAGAAATTCACTACAAAAAAAAGGAATTTCTTAGATTTAAGTTTTATGTGCTATATCTTTCTTTCTTTTTATATTTCACTTTTGACAAATACTTCGTGTTTTTTTTTCCATTGAGTTTTTCGGTATTCAAAAAAAGAACAATATTTTATTTATATGAATACAGTAAAATCTCTGAGCAGAAGACTCTTTTACTGTATTACAGAAACTTAAAAATAGATGTATTGAATACAAACCATTTTCACATGAGGTTACACATCCACCCTAGTAAATATGCAAAAATCAGGCACCCTACTACAGTAATGTCACAGATACGTGATTTCCACGAGCAAAAGTATTTAGGTACCTTCCATGTATTTTTTTTATTTACCTCTGCTAGCCGCAGCCAAGTATTAAAGTACCTAAGAAGTAATTTTAGGTATCCATCCAAGTAATGTCATAGGTAACAGAGCTCCGTATGGATCTGACTGAAAATTTGTTGAGTTCATGGACTCGAACTGATCTAGACTCAAAAAAAATTTTGGATTCACTTGAATCGAGGAAAAATCAGTAAAAAAACAGGTTATTTTTGTATTGTGGACTAGATTGGACTACTCTTTTGGAGTCCACGGACTCTGACTGGACTAGACTCAGAATTTTGAGTTCATACAGAGGTCTCATGTCTCATAGCAAACGTACTTGGTCTGCGTCAGCCTTAGGTACCTAGGTGCCGAATTCAAGTACATTCACTAAGACAAGTACTTTTTCCAATATACAATCGACTTCTAGCTATAAACTTTCCGATACTAAGGCAAAAATCAAATTAAAATAAATAGTATGTACACAAACACATGTTTTTCACAAGCTATAAAGTTCAAATTGCTTCTAGAGAAGTTCTGATTTTTAATAGTTAAAAATGATCTCCCTATATAATTTTGAAAAATAATATCATACATTCCACTCCGTGCCTCTATAAAGTGAGATAAGCTATCGAAAGTAAATAAACTCTTCAATATATATGTACTCACATTTTATACAGAAAATCCGAGGCTTTATTCATGTTCTCTGATTATCACCACTTAGGTTTCTTAGTACTATCTTCCTTCAAGAAATTTCTCTAAGTATTTACTGTAGGCAGGTAAACTTCACTTTATGAGAGTAAATAATTGTTAATAAGATAAAAGGAAACATAAGAGCATCATTTTCACTATTATTCAATATGAAACAAAACAAAGGTTTGCTAAGAACGTTTATGACTGTTTAACTTCCCATATAGAGGATTGTGCATCAGGTTAAGGAGTTCATCTATAAGCAATTTACACTAAACTATCTTGAGTATGATAGTATACCGCCTCGTACAAACGAATTCTCTGATAATAGATCCTTTATAAATTTGATTTAATCATCATGTGTATCAAATTTAGCTTCATCAAAACCAAGAGTATCGAATCAATATCCAATCGTATCCAGTACACGTTGTTCCATATGCGATATACTTCTAAAAACTCAATATAATAGACATATTACCAATGGAAAACCATTGACTGACATACTACCTTGTAACGGACTCAATAGTAAACGTTTAACGTATGGTGAGTGTTATAAGAAATATTCATCTCTATTTCGCTTGTTATCCTCTGAACAATCGGAAAGAGATAAAGACACTGGTAAAAATGATGATTCAAAGAAGGCTTTAATTTGCACGAAATGTTGTAAAAAACTTCAATTAGCACATGATGCGCATACGAAATTTACGAATGTATTAGAATATGTTCAACATGTACATAGAAAAACAAAACGTTTAAATAAAGCAAGAAAATATTATAGTAACAAAACATTAAAAAACTATTCGATTATTAAAAAAGTGATTAACAATAAGCAAGAGAATGATGCTAATGACGATTCTGGAGAAATAAATATTGTTGTAGAACAAGATAAAGAATCAGAAGAGAACATTAGAACAAGAATAGAAGAAACAATAGTACAATGTTACGTTGACAATGAACCAGATATTATAATTAAAAATGAGCCACTTATTGAACAGCAAACAGAACCACCGCTTATTATCGACGAAACAAGCGGTACTGATGAGAGACACAATGATTATTGTAGAAGATCTGATCAACAGGAACATATTAATTTACAAAACAGTGGTACAGAATTACAACTACGTGAAACAATGGTTTGGCCAAGTGGAAACCTTCAAATACCAATGCTATTTCCTTGCACATATCAGTCTTCAATCACACTACCTGGTAGTAATTTAGCTCACATGAATAAACAATTATATCGACCGTTGGTGAGTAATAATGGTAGCAATTATCAGACATTTCAGTATGTTGCCACTGCTCCACCATCTGTAAGACCATTAACAGAGATATCAGTATCAAAAAATCGAAAAGACAATGATAAGACCAGACAAAATAGTTTTGTACGTTAAAAAACAAAATAGAATATTTTTTTATTAAAAAAACGTTATTTCTAGCAAAACAAGAAAACCAAAGGTAGCTACATTCATCCAATTTATTCGCCTAATGCAAACATAGGTGGATATTATCGAGCTGGATTAACCCCATCTACTGTTTATACAGAACGTCCATCAACATCGATGATTACAAGTAGTTTGGGAGGCAGTGGAACTGGAATGTTTATGCCAATACCATCGTATGAACAAAACCATTCGAATAATAAAAACAACAACCTACCGAAACACAATAGTTGGCACCTCGATACCGACTTATCTGCAAATGCTCATCGTCTAGAGGTATGTGATCATAACGGAAATCTCTCAAATCATAGAGATACTGTTGATATAATTACTAGAATAATCCAGTATATCAAGGATTCTTCGTAAATCCCAATGGAGAACCGAAAAGTGATAGTAGGCCATCAGTTAATCAAAATCTAATAGATTATGGTATAGAAATATCATCAGGTATGTTACAATCTGAAAAGTTTACGTTTTCTACATGATTTTGTTTAGATGGATCATTATCTCCCAAATCACCAGTATTATCCGAAACTCTAAATGTTGTTGGTACACGTCTGGGTCGTCGACAATATGATTATGTTAGAAAATTAGATGATCAAATGAAATTAAATGCATATTTAGAAGAATCGGCCGCAGAACATAATTGCCGATGGACATGGCGTCGTACATCGGCAAATAGTCGAGGCTATAAAGTCTATTATGTATGTAATTTTAGTATGCGTCGACATTATTATCCATGTCCAGCAGCAATGTACGCTCTATTTCATCCCGATGGGTTTATATCGATTTATGCTTGTGGTGAACATCGACATGAACCGAAAGATCCATTACCAGTTAGTATTACAGATGAAACGAAAGAAGAAATATTCAAATGTTTACACAGTGGTATGACCGCAACAGAAATAAAAGACCATCTAAACAAAAAATCATTGTCATTTGGTGATGCAAGAAAATTAAATAATTTTATTAAATATCATAAAGAATTACTTCGATTTGGAACAGTGACAAACGTTCGACCGGGAGGTAGGAGAAGAAGCTTTTAATGGTGTTCAGATAGTGCAACGAACAAATATCAATTTTTATTTTAGGTACAGCTTATCGTCAGCCGCAGTGCTGGGCGATTAGGCGTCAACATACAACATTAGAGTCTACAGTGCCAATAACTCCGAATAGTAGTGCAAATATGAGTACAGTTAATGGAGAAATCCCTTCGCCACTAGCGTTAACCGGAGCAAATGACAGAGCAATTTAAATATATCAATCCGTTACTTTTTTTTCACATACATACATACGTATAGACATACAATGAGCTACACCTGCATTGTGTATTGGATGAAACAGTTTTTGTCTGAGCAGGCAGGTTCTTTATAAGTAGCAAAATTTCTTGTCAGATCGAATTTATAACGAACATCTAAATTAAATATCATCTCGATAGCTAACAATATTTGGCAAAATCCGCTTTTATTGTCCAAAAACACTATCGACAGCAGTGAGACCCATTAAAACTAGCCTTTTGTTTTGAAAACTTGCTAGTGAAGAAAGTCATGATATAAAAAAGTTATTGTTTTACTCCTTCAATCTTTTGAGGCCGATCTGATTTTTTAACAAATTTTTGTAACCAAATCGAGGTAAGATAGTATCAAAATTTTAAGAGTTTATCAGATACTACAAAAATGGACTTTTGTAAGACTTTTAAGTCATAGGCCGTTGAAATGGAAAAAATTAGAAATGTCAACCTTATTATGCTGGTAAGGAGTACAGTTGGAGAGAAAAGTAATAGAATACTGGAATATTTGTTTATCCCTTTTTACGTCAACGGGTATTCTAAATGCGTGATTCTATAGAAAAGAATTCAAAAAAAATTCAATCTATTGTGTGTATGTATAATTCTTTTTTACTATAAGTCTCGATATATTTCTGCGTCTACTATATCTGAATACGTGTCTCTGCACCAAAAATACTCAATACGTTGTTGTTGTTTTTGTATTGCACGTTATTTCGAAGTCAAGAGAATGGTGTTTTATTATATATTTCATTTACTTTTTTTTAAATAAAATGTCAGTACTTTATTTAGAATGCTTTGAACTGAAAAGAGACATTCTGTTGAAATATCAATAGGATGCCTAAATCTGAGGCACCCGGAATGGAATAGTACCACTAACGTCCATCAATAGCATCAACATCCAAATGGATGAGTATTTGTACCCGCTGATCCTCTCCACAGTATTTAGGACGCTGGGCTACCTGTAGAAAGTTACGCGCATCACATATTTAGAGCCTACACCCTTCATCACGTACTTCATCCGGAGAACATCACTTAAAGGAGTAAGTTAACTTTTTTTTATTGATATTCACCTCAGAATAATCTGTTACTGTAACAGACTATACAAAACTGCCACTTCAAAGACTTAAAACTGAAGATCTGACAGAACACCGCGGAACACTTAAAACTGAAGAATCACGTGCTGGTGAATTAACAGTGTCTAATGCGGATTCCATCGCTGCAACAAATGTTTTCCGGTTCATATCCTTGTCTCTGAGAATAAATTATTATACTTTCATAATAGTTTAGCACGTAGCACACACTTTTACATCGCCTTCAATGACAACATTTGTGATCTACTATTCTCGACTGATAAAGTCCCTAGCAAAAATTGTTTTTTTCGCTGAAGAAATCGGTTTTATAATTCACAGGTGTAATATGCATAATCAGGAGCTGAATTTGTACATCTAGATGTATTCTGAGGTGGATATCAATAAAAAAAGTTAACTTACACCTTTAAGTGATGTTCTCCGGATGAAGTACGTGATGAAGGGTGTAGGCTCTAAATATGTGATGCGCGTAACTTTCTACAGGTGGCCCAGCGTCCTAAATACTGTGGAGAGGATCAGCGGGTGCAAATACTTATCCATTTGGGTGTTGATGCTATTGATGGATGTTAGTGGTACTATTCCATTCCGGGTGATTCATATTTAGATTCAAGTCGGCGTTAGAGGTGTTGGTGTAACTGAATTTTGTAGCGTCATTTTTCTTCGCGCCTTTGCTTATACTTGCTCTGAAAGTGTAACCTTTAAAAGAGTGTACAGTGCCAGTTAAAGTCCACGAGTGGATTAAAATATGAAATTTTTTTTCGTTCTTCAAGTCTGTTCGACTATAATTTTTAATAATACAGAACAGCAGACTCAAACCAGAACTCGCCTCGGTAAAAGGCATCTATCAGTATTTGAACAAGATATCCCAAAATTCTTAATCAATTATGAGTGAATCTCATTATGAAACATAATAAGATCTTAACGGACTTTCACACAAGATTGTAAAAGCTTCATAGATAAAACAACCTATATTTTGGTAAGATCTTACCAATATTATAGCAAAAATAGTTCACGATCTTTCTCTCACACTGTTTGATTGTTAACGAAAATATTCCTTTTATCATCTCTCCGATCCTCAGTACCAATTCTAAAACCACTGTACTATCTTTAGTGTCAAGCCCAACTCTAAGACACTTCCAGTAACGAAATTTCGTTCACCTGCGTATACAAGGAAACGAACAATTTTAAGTTATTCGAAGAAAATTAGTGTTACCTATATACTAGCATGATAGCGAAACAACAGTGAATCTGGGAAAAGGCCTAAAACAGTTTGCATAAGATGTACAACGTAGACTCCATCCAGTCACTCCTGTTAACCGACCATTTGTATACTGTTAATTGGTATTCTTGAAACGGTCTGTTTATGGTAAAGTTAACTGGCCGTCCTTATGCTGTTTTTACAATATTAACGGGTCATTTTATAAGGCAATTAACCGATCTATATCACCAGATCGAAAAATTTTAAAAGCTTTTTCGGTCAAAACCAACTGCAGATTCATCTTCTCCATAGTTGATTATGTGGTACGCAATAACTTTTGGATCGGAGGACTTTAGAAAAAAAATTTCCCATGGTCTTGCTCAAAAATTTTTCCAAAAGTTATCGTATGAGACCAAAGGCAACACGATGTTGAAAATTTTTCTAAGGTAACTCGATCCAGAAGTTACCGCGTATCACATAATCAACCATGGAGAAGACGAATGTGCAATCGATTTTGACCGAACAAGCTTTTAAAATTTCCGATCTGATGATATGATTAACAGATCGTCTGGGCATGAGATAAACATGGGGCAAATGCACAGTGGCACGAAATATCAAATTTAAGAAAGGACTAAAGAGTCTGTGACAATACCATATACTCCATCACTCTATAAAATCAAACTAATGCTAGAAATAAACAGTGTAGTTAATATTTTATAGAAAGATATTTATTGTTAAGTGTATGACACTGTGAAGGAAAGAAGATATATTTTGATTGGTTAAACCTGATACAAGACACGTTGCTGAGCGTATTAAGGTTCAATCTAAAAGAAGTCTGTTGTAAAAGTTTATGAATAGTTAACGGGAATTATGAAGATCACGGTGTGCTAGACGTAATAGTTGGACATACGTTACTAGTGTTAATATACCATTAATCTCAAAATAAGCTAGAACACTGGTGTCAGATGTTCTAGTTTCTGCCAGTAATTTTACCTAGATATTTGTCGCACTGTGGAACACAATTTCGGGAAGTTTAACCTATTGAAGCTAAACAATCGTAGCCATTGAGAACCATATACGTGCATCAACTTACTTACATTGGTTAGTTCACTTATATATCCAGTCACGTACGGACAGACAAATTGGTCACATGGTCTCTTGTCTCTTAGTGTCAATTTGTTATCTGACTAGATTTGTTAACATAGTTTCACCGTTAACGGTTTTGTATTAATTATCTTTCTTCTGTTTATATGACTTGTTGTTTTTGACTTTTCGACCAAGTCTAAACTCAAAAACATCAGCGTAGACGATAAAACCTATTTGCTTTCTCACCATTAAAATCTTTTATTTTACTTTACATAGTGATTAATAAAGCAGACTAAAAAAGTGCGTATAGCGTAATCATTATCTAATTTACCGCATTATAAAGAACAACATTTCATGACTTCGTCTTGATCTTAGATATATTCCATCATCAAATCATGGATGTCACTAATATGGTGACCGCACATGTGCGATCATATATGCATATACGACCAGAAAAAACATGACTTATATTGATGAGTGTTTGTTAGCACGTGTGCAAACATATATATATTTCCTAAAATACTACTAAATTGGGGTTATTAACTTCTTACTTGAAATGCTTAAACAAGAAGAGTCATTAAAGACACATGTCGCGAAATAGAGGAATATGATATTATAAAAAAAAGACACAATAAGTAAAAATTTCTAATCTATTGCTTTGTCTTAGATTAAGCTCGCTAACGAGGAATTACTTGGCATTGTAGTTTAATTATACTTTAGTTAAAAAAATTGATTAGAAATTTAAATTTAGTCGATTTAGTAAAAATAAGAAATTAGTTGTTCGTAAAATGAACATGCACTCTGGTAATTTTCCTCTATAGTGAAACTATGATAAGTACAGAGAAGAAGAACAGGTTGAAAGCAAAACACAAATCGCGTTTATACCAGTGGTGAAGTAGAGTCGTATGAACTTATATTCGTGGAGCAATCGTATTCACTTTTGGACTAAAGTGCCCTAAAATCAATATGTTAGAGTTATAATTCCTCATTCGATACAGCGCGTGATGCGTGTGTTAATATTGCTTGTATTTCTGGGTTAGGTGTGACTTTTTTTCTTATTTTTCCGGTTTTAGATCGACAGATTATAAGAATGGTTCGCTCTCATTCAACACCGCAACCGCCGTCATCTCAACACCGTTCTCATTTCCAATCACATGATTACGGAAATAGTGTATCAACTACAATTCAGCAAGCACTTCAGGTTTTGTTTACGGAGCAGTGTTATGACGAAATATTTGTTCATATGAATTTTTTTGATATGGATTGTATGAAAATTACGTTATCAAAACTTATTGGTTATTCCATTTTGGTTGGCTCATTACTCGTTAAAGTACCACAAATTGTAAAAATTAAATGGAATAAATCGGGTCATGGTGTTAGTGTTATTGCTGATACAATTATGTTGGCAGCTATATTTGGCTCGATGGCTTATGGTTTTACATCTGAATATCCGCTCTCGTCTTATGGTGATTCTTACTTTTTATTTATTCAAACAATTATTATTATCGTAATGGTTTTATATTACGAGAAAAAATATGTATTAGCCGGGGTCTACTTAAGTATGTCGATTCGAGAATCTATTACTAATGAGAAATTATCTAAGCTATTTTGTTTGTTTACTTTTATTTGTAGTTTTATGTCTTCTATTAACAGTATTAATGTTTAAAAAGCTGATTCCTGAATGGATTATATGGAATTTAGCAGCCACATCGATGATTCTAAGTGTAACAAGTCGTTTATATCAAGCTTATTGTAATTATCGTATTAAATCCACCGGAAATTTATCGGCCATCTCAATGTTAATGTTATTTTTTGGTAGTTTAGCACGAATATTTACATCAATCCAAGAAACAGGTGATCACACACTGATATGGACATATATTTTGAATACAATTGCTAACGGTATACTTATACTACAATTGGGCTATTATTGGTCAGCCACAACAACTACAACAATGAATGATGAACATACTGAAACAGTAAAACAAAAGAAAAAAGAATAAATATGTGATCTTGTACCATTGTTGAGTTTAAAATATAACTACTTTTAACCATTTTAACTCAGTGGGTTAAAATGATTAAAAGTAGTTATAACTACTATTTTTATTAAATTCAACAGTGTCTTGTATTCTTTTTTACTAATCTAAAAATTGACGTTCGACACGTCATTTATGCTCCGTGCTTTTTTAATCGTATAACTCTATATTATACATAGATGTTTGTATTGCGTGTGATTGTATAAAAATAAATAAAGTTTTTCGAAATATTTTTCGTTCCAACCTCGCATGAATCTAAAACACTCGTTTTTTGCTAGATCCCCTGGTATTTGTGGAGTAAAATTAGACATTTTTCTAGATGGTTTTTTTATGGACTCGCAAAGAATTTCTGAAAAAGTTTTTAAGCGAATATGTTCAAAGCATAAATATGAAAAAACGTGAAAACAATTCAAAATTTAAATATGACTTACAATCTTTCACATATGTTAACGAAGATACTCTTGATCATCTTAAGAAACCGTATTCATGCAACTCTAAAAATGTTCACGAAAAAAGTTTTCCATAAATCCTTTAGGTGACTATGAGAAACACTTTAGAAAAATTTCTAAAGAGTTAAAAAATTTGCGGAAAATGACCTTGTGCCACTTTGATATGTTTTGGACAGAAAAAAGTCATTTGTAAAGAGTAATGGATCTCTGACACAGACCCATATCCTCGCAAATATAAAAACTAATATCTAACTAAGTTCAAAATTTTCAGAATGGCTTTACATGAAGATATTTTCGAAAAGTTTGTTTATAGCTAACTCATTTTGAAGTGCAGAAAAGTCTCTGTCTTGCTATATGTACGTTCTTGTTAAGCATTTAAAAGTTATGGGAAAAGCTTGGGATAGAGGATGGATGCCTTTGTTTAGGACAGTAATGAAAAATTGTAAGAAGAATACCTCATGAAGTTTCTCAGTACCCTTAATTTTATCTGATAAAGCATTTGATTTTAACCTTGGTAATTTGTTTTATTTTGTTTTAGAAATATCTATATTTTTATTCATATTTATAAGATGCAGCTCATTCAAAGATGTAGTGAAAAAATAGGTTTGGTTGATTTATACACCATTCGATAGAGAATCGGACGGCAATCACGAATATCACCATCCCGGCTCCCAAAACCCTTTCCTCGCCAAGAAAATTCCAAAATATGGAGTGATGGTCAAAAACCGGAAAAATACCCGTTTT